ATAAAGAGTTGGTTAGTCAGTTAGTCAGTTAACCAATTATTTACCTTGGCATGACGTCTAATTACCACTCATCAGCGTAGACATAAACGGCGACATGGCGTGCAACCGTCAAATAAACGAATGCACCGCAGCCACACTCCAACTTGGACGTGATTATCAGCCGTTACAACAAATTTTCCACCTGACCGCTTTCCTTCGAAAGTAAATGTTAAAGCACGAAAACTACGTAATGCATGTGTGCACGCAAATTCAGTGTCCTCTTACAGATATATGAACAACAAGCCAGCATACATGCACGCATGAACGTATATAACTTTCACACGTTTGTTATGCACTTTTTCTCGTTTTTTTTTTTTTTTTCTTTTTCCTTTACTTAGTTTATCGGCAGAACTTTTCATTAAAAACTATTAAAAAAAAATTTTTTTTTTTTTTCTGTTAACATGAATTTATGCTTTGCTGAGCTGAGCCATTTTACTGTATGTACGTCCAATGCAAACAGCAGTGGGTTATAATTATTAATATTGTCATTTAGCTATATAATTGCTTGACAAATACATAACACAAAAAAGAAAAAGGAATTGAGTCTACTCGACCATATGTCCTTTTACTGCTTTGAAACGCATATTTTACGACTCAACAATTAAATAATTATTGAACTGTTGCACCATCGATAGTATACTTCATATCTGGCCACAAGAGATTACCGCTTGTTTGCAAATCACCAAAGCACGTCCAAGGGGAGAAGAAGCAGGCCAAATGATGAGCTTATTACGGGTTTCGAACGCCTGCCTTGAAAAATGGCTCTATAAAGAAGCGTCAGAGTCGTCATTTGTAAGGGAGACTACATTGATTAGTCAGGGGGACTTTTGCAGAAAAATTGATTTGTTATTGAGTCCGGAGAATTATTGATCGTCCTATTAAGGCCGTTATGGTAAGCAATATGTGTGGCTTATTTCTTTGTATGACGTACGTTAGAACTCGATTATCAATTCGATTATTTACTAACATGCAATGCTTCCAATTCGCAGAACAATATCGTCTCTAGTTTTTAGCTGATTAAATCAGTCGTTACTACAAAAAAAAAAAAAAAGAGAGACTTGGATGGTTATGGGTTACGCGGTTGACGCTCAGACGCTTTAAATTTTACTAAAAGTCTATATGCAGCTTCCAAAAGCTTGCATAAGCGAATAAAGATTAATCGATTTTATCACTTTACATTATTATACATCGTTGTCTAAGACAAGTTTAAGTGAGGAATGTCACAAGGACCTCGTCCGACTCACCGAGTAATGTAAAATTTTGTTTTAATTGAAGAGCACTCTTTCTCTTTTTAATTTAACAATTCCTGAATATGTTTTATCAGGACATTATATCAGGAAGAAGGATCTTGCTTCTTGCTAAACTTCTATTGAAATAAGATTAGCTTTCCACGATCCTCCCCCAAAGTCGAAGAGCTGGGCATTTAAAGCTTTCGGAAAGCAGTCAAGGAAATCTTCAAATCAAATCGGTAACGAAAAAAAGGCCAGCCATATTCGAATCAAAAGCAACGTTCACAAAATTACTTCTTCCCTATTTCCTTTCGTAAGATTTCTTTGAAAAGGAAATCTTCCTTTGTAAAACAATATCTTAACTAAATTATCCTTGGGGAGGCATTTACTAATCTACAGACATAAAACATTTAAAATTAAAACAATTTCTCTCAAAAGAAACAAAATGAAGGAAAGATAAACATAAAAAAATAAGCTGAAAATGAAGATAAAGAAATGAAAAAAAAGAAGATAAGGAAGAACGAAAAATTTACGCTGAAGAGAATCAATGGAAGAGATTGGAGGACCAAGAGTAATGTTTACAAAGATAGATCTAAATAAGGCCGACAAAAAGCAACAGTTAGTCGGTTGGTGGATTTTATACCAACCAAGAAAGTGCTTTGAGTTTCTTATTTTACAAAATTGAACAATTAAAGCCATTTATTTGTAGAATCAATACCTGTCAGCATAACTAACCCTCAGGCCTAGCCAGAAGAGAAAAATCAATTTGCACCATGTCCCTGCAAGGACTTTGTTATTACGTTTGGGATGAAAACCCGTATAGCTGCCGATTTTTGGATTGCTTAACGCCGTAATCAAAGGCACCCAAAGTGGGGTTTATATCTCACTTTAAGTAGTAATTTTCGATCATAGCTGTACCAAGGTTGACTTCTATTCGGAAAAGAAATTTGGGCGTTTGCTTGTATATGTGTTCGTATAACTTAAAATATAACAGTTCATAATAATTATAAATATCCTGTCCCTGTGTGTGTACAAGTAATAGGAGAGAAGGAATTGGCAGCAATGGAACGATCGATGAATATAATAATATTCGAAGAGGTAAGGAACTTCCTGCAAAATTCTAATAAAAGAGGAATCGATCGCCTTGCATTAAATCCTAAGAAAAAAATATAGACACATATTTTATAAGTGCCGACATTCAGCATTAATTAAGTTCTAGGCGATGGGATTCGTAATAATCAACTCAAAGACTTCACGTCAAATGTTGCAATCAGTTTTCGCTTTATTGGCCATTAAATATCTAAATGGTTTTTAAAATTGTAGCTTCTCATCTTTCAAAATGTGATTAAGAGGTTCCCGAGAGACGAGAATTAGTAGATGAAAAATTTGTTTAAGCCTATGAACTGTTGCAAAGCTGAGGATAAATTAGGTATATTTACCCGATGGCGTACAACTTTTGCATAATGTTTCCCTAAGCACACATTACGTGTCTTACATCAATTGCGATAAATACTTAACCTATTTTATGTATTTACTTTCATGAAAAAAAAAGTACAACAAAATAAATAAAACTCGAAGCAATTACGACTGGGAGGAGGAAAATTAAATCTTAACACGCAACTAAAAAGATAGAGCAACAGTGAGGCTCCTTTAATTACACGATTTGCTAAGCATAGGCAGGTTCTAACATGCAACAAAAAAAAAGGAAAAAGAAAACAACAACAACGATTTAATTCTTTAGTTTTCGCTTCAGTGTTTTAAAGCAGTATTTATGAAGTTAGTTGAATTTTTGTTGAATTCCCTCGTGACCTTCACATTAACGTAATCACGTTCGCAATGCACACAGCACAATATACTTCTCAAAAGTTCTGGTTATCGTTACATTCAAATCGATGTTTTAATACCAAAAAATAAAAGTTTTCTTCTGCAAAAAGTCCCTTTGAAAAAAGATATTAAAAAAAAAAAAAAAGAAAGTTTGACTTTGAACAAAACAATTACAGTTATCTTGCAACCAATCTGGCATAAGTTCAACCATCTCCACTATCGGTGCTCTATTAATTCGAAGTATGATAGAGGACCGTGTAACTGTTTTAAACTTTCATTTTCCTGACAGCATCGTTAAAAATACTTTTTAGCGTTTATGTGCCTTTGTGCGAGTTTCGTTTCTATGTGTGGTTTCTTGTACATAGACTTAGCATGCATATTTTGAAAACAGAGCTACACATCTCAACTAGCAGTATAGGCTTCAATTTCTAGTTTTTAGCTTCGCGTACCACGGACAGTACCGAAAGGACTCTTTGCAATACGAAGTTAAGAATTCAAAGATACTGTTACATGCTTTTGCTTAATTGGTTGCAATTTTCAAGCTACAAGGATCGAATTTGACATGGTAGTTGAAGATGAGACGGTACCACGTAACTAACTCACAATAATTCTTAAGTTATAGGAGATAGACTACTGAATCTAATCCCTCTAATAACTACCTACCTTTGTAGGTATGTCTCACTGTGTACTTGTGGCAATCCGCGACAAGTCTTTGAAAACTTCATAAAACAAAAAATGGAGTACTAAAGGTATGAAGAGCACCTCATGTGTAGAAGTTCAAGAAATCCTTAAAGTGCGTTCCCGTCAAATAAATCTTGTTCCATTTATTCATGGAAGCTTTTCAGCTTCATAAACAAGCCACGCTACGAAGGTCGGTCGCTCAACTGACATAACAAGTAGATTTGATTAAAAAAACTTGGCGGTCGTGGAGATCATATTATACATCTTCTCTATCTTACGTAAGGTATTTAACTTATCTTACTTTAAAATTTTGTAAGAAGTGATAACGATGAAAAGTCGATTAATCGCAGTAAAGAAGAACAAAAATGTATTTAGGAAAAAAGCCAAAATGTGAGCAATATAACACACACATCGTCTACAAATATTTCTTCTTTTGATGCTAATTATATGAGTAGACGATAAAGAAAGTTATTGCTACCTTTAGGAGGTTAAAAGCCATTATTAGATATCTAAGGAGACGCTTTCACTTTCTTCCTTTGTCATATGACAAATTCTAAAGTTTTTGTCTCCAAACTTATAAAATCTAAAAAAAAAAAAAAAAAATGCATTTCATTAAAGTTAAATTATTTGAAGTCATTTCAGGTTTCATTGTCAATTAAGCCAACATGTTTTTCATTTTATGCGCGCCACTTAGCTAAGTTTGGTTTCTTTTTTTTTTGGAAATTTATTGCTCTACCGATAGCAAACAACAACCGTAAGCAACCGAAAACCAAAAGTTATTTATAAGTGATTCGTGGAATAATTACTGCAATGAATTTGTATTTAAATGGTAAGGCACAAATTTTAAATAATTCGTAAGTTAAACAAGAGGAGCTTAATATTTAATCCTGCTATGGCTAACACAACACTGCTTTGGCTTTGCTTTTGAATTTGTTTTTTTTTTTTTTTTTTTGTTGTACTCTTTTTCTTTTCTTTTCATTCTTGTTTTGTTTTTTGGTTGGTATGCAGCAGCAATCAGACCTACGTTTCATTTATTACAACTGTTAGTAAGGTTATTATGCATGTTAAATGTTTTCCTTTTGTTTTCGACTTTTTTCCTTTTTTCTTTCTTGCATTGAAATACAAATGTAAAAACAATAACAACAATAATAGTATAACAACTGTAACAAAAACAACAGCAAGAATAATAAAAATAATCATAATAATAATGAAAACAAGTTTACTTACAATTAACATTCAACGTGGTTGTGGTTTCCAAGCGTTGGCCCTCGTTCATGGCACGATTCCAAACAACACATTTAAATATGACACCATCATCCTCCCGACGCGGTACAATGGCCAGCGTTGCATTGGTGGGTTGATCTTTTGAGCCGCCTTTGAGTACAGCAGCTTGTAATGGCGCACTGCTACCATCCCGGTACCATCTGAATCCGCAACAACCGAAAGTGGAAATGAAAAAATTTGCCATAAAAAAAAGAGAAAAACAAAAACAACAATTTAAGCGTTGTTTTAAACGGAAATTAACAAAAAAAAAAAAAATTTATATAATGGACAAAGCTAGCCATTGTATACCTTATACCATTTCGCCATAATTGTTTCAAAATGTGGAGTTACATGGGTAGCAGTTGCCATATGATCCGAATCAATCTATTCTCAATACGATCCGTCCCAGCGTCAAGATATTTATGAATTTCAAACTTCATCAAAGTATCTGGCAAAGATTGAATGTGGATATACATGGATACACATTAGACAGACAGACTGAAAGATGGACAGGCCAGAGTTAAAACGATTCAGAATATGATTCCGATTTTAATCTATTTCAAAACATTCTGGATTTTTTGTACCTCTGCACGAGCTTAAAGTACACTGTGCTACAAGTGCTATGGGGCATCATAACGAAGGTATTACATGCTCCGCATGGCGTATCTTTTAATACCCATTATTTAAGTAAAAGTTAACCTTTCACAATGTTTCCAATATATTACTAATACGACGAGTAAGACGTTAGTGTTCATTTCATTAGAAAAGTTTTGAAAATTGCTATTAATAACGGAAATCTGATGAATCTGATGATCATTTGAAGTTTCTTCATAATCATCTCCATCGAGGAGTTGTCGCAACGATTTTCAATTAATCGGTTAGATTAAGGATATAGATGGCTTAAAAGACTTTACTGATCGGACGGACAAACAATCATTAATGGGTTTGGGAATTCAACTCAAAACTACCTTGCAACTAGATGAAGCACTGAATTGAAGCTCAGATCAGTATTCTTACAGTCCTTTGATGTTTTTTTTTCTTTTCTATTTAATGATTCTGTTTTTGTATTATTTATACAGTTTATATAAAGAAACTCGAATAGTTTAGAGGAATAAATTCTATCTAGTTGTTCGTTCATTTACTATGAATATTCTCATAAATCAATCAATATTTTCTCTCTTCTCAATCGGGGGAAAAGTATTGAAAAAAAAAAAAAAATGACGTAAATTCAAAGATAGCAAAGGGTATATGCATACACTGTAAGATTACTCTCGAATAAGCAATCTTTTCCTTGGTCGGCAAAAGGTAAACTAAAAGCAAAAAATATGAAAAACAAAGAACTAAGTAGACTACAAATATAATAGTGAATAGAAAGAATAACAAAAAAAAAAAAAAAAAAAAACGCATCACTTGTTTGGCAGTTTATTTTGTGAATTCGGCTACATCATCCCCATCACCCCCCAGCAAAAGCAAAGAAATCGTCTACTTCTGTGTGTGCTTAATTCCTTTTTTCCATTTTTTTTTTTTTTTTTTTGTGTTGCATTATTTTGGCAAGTGTTTCACTATGTTGAACTTATATAGCATATCCTATGGGTAAGTGTAGGCAAATTGTACCTACTATTGTGCATGGCTACGTGTTTGCTCTCACTTGAGTATTAAAATATAAAAACGGCGGATTCACTAAATGAGCATTTTTCGCTTTCTCGTTAGTTACTTTACCATTCTCTAGATAGTGACATGAAAAAAAAAGAAAAAAAGACGCTCCCGACCACCATCATTATCATCAGACAGGCATACAAAGACGAAACTGTTTAATTGGCTTTGTGTGAAGTTTTCAACATAATTTTTTATGTAGCGCTTTAATGAAAACTAATTGTTTGACTTTAACTTTAAATTAATATTAAATTGTAAAACATTTCGCTGTTTTTTAGATTGAATCCAACTACACAAAAAAAAAAAAAAAAAAAAAAAACAAAAAAACAGTAAATAAAATATAAAAAATAAAAACTCTTTTATATTTTTGTTCCCCTTTTGTCCATAAATTTTAATGTACACAGTTTAAAAAAGTTCTATGAAAAAA